ACCTGCGGTGCCTCTCAACAGGTGGAGATACGTTCCATGTCTTGTAATCAAATTTGGCTGCAGAATTTCTGTTGACTGAGAGGATGTGATATCTGGTATATCCAAACAGAAATTTTACGGGTGCTTGTGTTTCAGTTCTGTCTCTTGCTCTTTTCCTCTGTCAAGAGCTTGTCCTTCAGAGCCCCCGGAGCAGAGCTGCAGCAGCAGGCCCGCCTCTGCTGACAGGTGTGAGTGAGAAATAAACATTTGCTCTTGAAAGGCAAGCCACTGAGATTTTAGAGTTGTTTATGACTGCAGCCGAGCTGACCAATACAATCATTATTGGCCAATTTGTAATCGATCAATTTGGAATCAATGCCAGTGAATTCTGGAAAGAAAAAAAAAGTCCTATGGCCAGGTGCAGTGGCTCATGCCTATAGTTCCAAGTACTAGGGAGGCTGAGGCAGGAGGATCTCTTGAGCCCAAGAGTTTGAGGCTGCGGTGAGCTATGATCCTGCCACTGTACTCCAGCCTGGGCAACAGAGCAAGACCCCAGCTCTAAGAAAAAAAAAAAGTCCTAAACTGCTATTTTTTCTGAATATTAGTTTTAGTCTTATTAGGTTGACTCTCTTAGTAAACTACCTAGATCATGCCACTGGAGAGTTTCAGTCCTTTTGAAGTGATTTTAATGGGTGTGGACTCAAAAGAAGTCTTTTGGTGAATTGTATTAGAGTGGACCCAAGGATTGCAGCAGGTGAGGAGCACCTGCTGTAGGGTGGAGCCGGACCTGGACCTATTTCTGATGTAAGGTCCATGTGCCTCTAAGTCTGGGCAGGGCTTGAGCACTGATCTATAGCATTGTGTAGCTAGTTCTGTTGTTTTGTGTGCAATTAAATTCATAATCAGGAGCACAGGTCCATAAAGACTGACATTTAGAACTACTTTCCTTCAAACTGCATATTTCATGAATTATCTTTATTTCCAAGATACTATCCTTTTTCGAAGCATAAGTAATGTCCCATCTAATTTTATTTTATTTTATTTATTTTTTTTATTTTTTGAGACAGAGTCTCACTCTGTCACCCAGGCTACAGTGCTGTGGCATCAGCTTAGCTCACAGCAATCTCAAACTCCTGGGCTTCAAGCAATCCTCCTGGCTCAGCCTCCCAAGTAGCTGGGACTACAGGCACAAGCCACCATGCCTGGCTGATTTTTTCTCTATATATATTTTTAGTTGTCCAGCCAATTTATTTCTATTTTTTAGTAGAGATGGGGTCTCCCTCTTGCTCGGGCTGGTCTCAAACTCCTGAGCTCAAATGATCTGCCTGCCTTGACCTCCCAGAGTGCTAGGATTACAGGTGTGAGCCACTGGACCTGGCCTGTCCCATCTAATTTTAAAGAGAGACCTTTCTCCTAACTTAACTATGCTTGGATAAGAATACAGTACAATTGTGCACAGCATAATGACATTTTGGTCAGTGACCGGCTGCATATGCTATGGTGGTTCCATAAGATTCTAATGGAGCTGAAAAACTCCTATTGCCTACTGACATCTTAGCTATTGTAAGGTAGTGCAATGCGTTACTCACGTTTGTGGTGATGATGGTGTAAACAAACCTACTTCACTGCCAGTTGTGTAAAAGTATAGCACATAATTATGTACAGCACACAATACTTGATAATGATAATAAACAACTATGTTACTGGTTTATGTATTTACTATACTATAATTTTTGTTGTTGTTTTAGAGTGTACTCCTTCTACTTATACCAAAAAAAAGTTAACTGTAAACAACCTCTAGCAGGTCCTTCAGGAAGTATTCCAGAAGAAGGCATATCTCAGAGATGACAGCTCTATACATGTTATTGCCCCTGAAGACCTTCTTGTGGGACAAGATGTGGAGGTGGAAGACAGTGACATTAATGATCCCAACCCTGTGGAGACCTAGGCTAATGTGTGTGTTTTAGTTTTTAACCAAAAAGTTTAAAAAATAAAAAATTGTGAAAATAGAAAAAAACTCATAAAGATATAAAGCAAAAATATTCAGTATTTTGTGTTTTAAGCAAAATGCAATTACAAGGGAGTCAAAAAGTTAAATACAGGGGGGGAAATGGGCATTTATTGAAACCTTAAAATCTGTACCCCCATAATATGCCAAAATAAAAAAAATAATAATAATAATTAAAAAAAAAAAAAAGTTAAATACATTTTAAGTTTATAATGTAAAAATTTAGTTAGCTAAGGTTAACAATTGAAGAAAGAAATTTTTAAAAATAAATTTAGTGTAGCTTAAGTGTAAAATGTTTATGAAGTCAATATATAGTATTGTGTATAGTAATGTCCTAGGCCTTCACATTAATTCACACTCACTCACTGACTCACCCAGAGCAACTCTTCCAATCCTGCAAGCTCCATTCATGGTAAGTGCCCCATATAGGTTTACCATTTTTTATCTTCTATACCATGTTTTTTACTGTACTTTCTCTATGTGTAGATATGTTTACATACACAAATACTTACCATTGTGGTACAGTGGCTTGCAGTGTTCAGTAGAGTGACATGCTGCACAGGTTTGCAGCCTAGGAGAAACAGGCCATATCACACAGCCTAGGTGTGTAGTGGGATACATCATCTAGGTCTGTGTAAGCACATACACTGTTTGCACACAGAAGAAATTGCCTAGTGAGGCATTTCTCAGAAGGTACCTCTGTTGTTAAGCGACTCATGACTGTACTTACTAACATAGTCACTTCAGTAAGAATGTGTATCTTGCCAGGCCTGGTCAGCAAATGTTATGGTACTCATTTGTGAATAAGCAATTCATAGGTACTTAAGATTCAACTAGTTATAAATATGTCAGCACCCCTGTGTGTCTCTATATTTTTAAGCCTTCCCAGACTAATTTCCCAAAGGATTACATTGACCTTGACTGCTTTGTTGGCTTGCAAGGCTCTCCCTTCCCTGAGTTAACGGTGTCCTAATAGTCTTGGCATTAAATTTTGGGTGTAGTCATATTTGGGTTGCAAAAAAAAAAAAAAAAACAAAACACCTTTCCTGTGTGTGCTCTCTTGCTCCTTTTTCTCCTCTAATCTAGTGCTTCCTCTTTAGCATTTGAGCTATTGGCTTAAAAAAAAAATGCCCTCTCAATTAAGAAAAGTATGAACTTCACCTCTAGTACCTCTCCCGGATCCCTCGTGCTGTCCTCCCTGAGAGCTTTCCGCCCTCTGGACTTAAGGCAGTGGGGAGCAAAGTCCCAGCATTCACAGCCGTCTGAGGACTGATGGACCGCAGCTGGCAAAGGGAGACAGCAGAACAAGCCACAGGTGACTGCATCCAGCAGGCTGGGTCAGGGCATCACAGGAGGCGCAGGGGAGGGAGGGAGAGGGAAGCTCTGCAGCAGCTTCCTGCTTGATGCTGACTACGAGCTGGGCCTCTCCCTCCTCAAAACGACCAGTCTATCCTTGGCCTTAACTTTAGGTTGCCACACAGAAGGAAGTTCTAGTTTTGTTAAAAATCAGTTCAAGAGTCAAAAAAAAGGTGCACTAAGAGACCAACTTCTTTGAGATTGTCCGTATGAAGAAAAAAGCTTTTGGCCACTATCCAAGAATGTAAGTCTTGGGTCGATTATATGAGCAATATATCTTGACAAAGGCTAGGTGCTGTCAGTTTTCTATCCAAGTGAACACCTACAAAAAAATAACAAATTGTCAAATGGCTAACACAAAAAGTGTTAAGCCATTTTAGTGCTGAATTTTTAAGTAAAGCTTGATTTTATTTAAGGGGAATAAAGTAGCTAAAATGTTATTAAACACTTATATGTATCACCAAAAATGCAATGATCACCTGGCCCTTTTAAATTAGGTTGGTTCTGTGGTTTTAGATTGTTAGAGTATACCAGAATCACCTGGAGGATTTGTTACAATGCGAATTGCTGGGTCCCATCCCCAGAATTTCTGATTCAGTACTTCCAAGTGGAGCTCAATAATTTGCATTTCTAACAAGTTCCAGGGTGCTGCTGTTTCTTACTTTGGGAACCAATGGTCTAAGTTTTCCTTTTTGAAGGTGTATAGATAATTGAGCTCCTCTTTATTCAGTGTTTTGTGGCTTGTAGTAGCTATTTTGGGAGGGTGATGCTGGGAGTTTGCAGATGTTGGTGATTAGGGAATTAGGGAATCTCAGAGTTGAAGGGACTGGAGATGTGGGAGGGGCAAGAGTGTGGGAGACATAAGGAGGAAATGGGAGTGAAGGGCAGATTGAGGAATTCAAGCGCGAGAGAGAAACCCAACCTGACACGGATCTCACTGCCATGTGAAGGCATTGCTTTATTGAGTTTGATCCTTGAGGTGGTGACAAGAGCTGTACCTAAAACAGATGAATAAGGCCCTGAAGGTTTTATTGTATTCCCTTCTGTATTAAATAGCAGAAATGGACAAGTTCTTTGAACTTTCCTAATGATACTCATTTTCCTTGACAGTGTGTATTAATCGCCAGATGGGGAACTCTTTCTTTTGGGCAAATAAGGTCATAAAGATAAGCTGTGACAATTAAATGGCCACATTTCTTTTATTTTATCAATGTGGTTGGAATCTAAGTTGCACATGATAAGATGTATACCACCTTTTCTTCTTTAGAGTCCAAAGACATGATTTTTGATGTCTAAGTTCATATGGAAACATCAAGGCAGAAAAGGATGCAACTCTTTTCTTAAAACCAATTTTTTACATTCCCATTGGTTGTAAAATAATTATTCAACACATTATTTTGATTTTAAAATTTCAAAGCTTGCCATATATGGGTGGATAGTATTTGGTTATGAAATCATTGGGATTTCCCCCTCTATCTATGGTCTCTAGCAAAAGAATTCCCAAGTCCATTTTAAAAGCCTACTTAAAAAATATCATTTCACTGAAATAACAAAAAATAGGAATTGTGATTCCTCTTTCTATGAAATGTAAATAATCGGGAGAAATAATATTAAAATTTCTAACTACCTCTATGATAGCAATGTTCAGGAAATAATGTTTTATAGTAAACATTTTTAATAAACAGCAGCATAAAATAATCAGTGTTTAATATCATCTCTGGTGTGTGAAATACAAATGCATATATCCTCAATATAAAATAGCCTTTTTTGTTATTACAATTCAATGCTTGCCTATTTGAAATGCCCATAATAACAAATCAAACATCAAGTAATACAATGATTAAATGCATGCAGTGAAAATAGGGAAAGATATGGTAGGGCGAGATATCTGAATATGGCCATTATATATTTAAAGAAAGTTTATATCGAGCTAAAAATAAACAAAGGAAACAAGAAAATAGACCAGATATAAAAATGCAGAGATATATTTTCACTTCTGTGATACAAACCATAAACATAGTTTTGTGCAAAAAAAAATCTGAAAATAAAGTCATCTTACAAAACATTGTCAACAAAGCAAAAGATATTTTTCAGTTTGTGAAAAAATACTACTTTAATACAAAAGGAACTGTGTTATATAGTATCACAGTGCTATTATAAAATACATTATTACAAGTGGTTTTGAAATTTTGTTTGTTCACCTTAATGATTTCAGTTATTATAAAATGTTTAAAATAAATGTTATAGTTCTTTATAAAAAACTAACTTGAATTTATTTTTTATTTGTAACAATGTTTTTCCAGAGTAGGTATTTTACTGGCTCATGGAATGCTAATTTCCCTTTAAGGGACTCCTAGAAAAACTCAGATTCACTGAAATTGTGTTTACTTAAAATAATAAATATTCTTGGAAAACAATTGATTGTCATATGATATACAAAATTGTGGTTTGAAGCTTCATCATTAAACAGTTGCATAGCAACAAAAGGATACAAATATTCTCCTCTACCTAAAGTTAAGAAATGTAATTCTGAATCAGCTTATTTATGCCACAAAAATGTCTTAACTTATTGCCCAGAAATCTGGATATAGCCAATTCTTTGAGTTCACAGTACCTATAAGTTCATGTTTGTGGTTTGAAGACTCAGGTTTGGGAAAATTGCAACACACTTTGGCAAACATATTTTCTTGATTTCTCTTGCTAATTGTATTTTAAAAAATAGAAACATCAATGTGTTTCTAATTCTCATACCTTCTCCTCATTAAATATCATTTCCAGGAATTACTTTAGATCCTGTAAGTCTCTTTATAATTCTCTTATACCTTTAAAATGAAAATGAGACTTTGAGACATTGTTTTTAGAATAAAGGAGTTTTTTTTTTAACAAGAGAAAAATCAAATACAAAATTCCTCTCTATATAGAACTTGAAACCCATAAGAATTCTAAACTTGGCAAAACATGGTTGGCAGGTAAATGCCATGAGATGCACATTTGATTCCTCCCTCTAACTAAGGGAAAAATGATCTTGTTGCTTGTATTTACCAGCTTAGAAAATTCAGTTCTTGGTAGTCTTTGAAATGAGAACTCAGTACTTGCTTTTTAGAAATATGTAATATTTTACAAAATAGAATTCGTTGTCTTTGGATTCCAACTAACTATGAATAAACTGTTATAACTCTGGGGGCTAGAATCAAATCTGTGAACATTTCTAGCATGGAAAAAAAAGTGAGAGAAACTTTAAATTTACTAAATATTGGTATCATCATGGGGTTTCCTACCTCCCTAGAGTCCACTGATGGTAAGCACTCTGACACCTCGGACAACCTGTCAACAGGGGGTTTCATTCAAGGCGTGGGTGTGCTCATCTATAGCCACAAATTTATTTTTCAATGTTACTGATCTAGGGAAACTTCTGTGAATGCTGTCACCATGGGAACCCTTTTTCCTCTCCTGTGGATGCTGGTCTAGGCTGAGGGACCCCTGACTGTGTTGCCCTTGGCACCTCATTCCTAATGTGGCAAAGTGAACTATCGACCATTTCCAGCATCCACATCTAGCCTTCTTATGGTCTGATGCCCTGTGTTATTTCGAGGGCTGTGTAAACACGCTGTGAAAAAGGAAATGTGGAAAAGGCCTTCATGATCAGAAGAGGAGGTTCACAAAGAGGCACACTCTGCACCTTCCCAAAGAAGCCCCATTACGGAGAAGGCTTCAGAGGATGGTCTACTTTGTCTTATGGCTCATTTCCATCCGGTATTTCAAATTTGGCCTAAAGTTTCTTCATTGATTCTGAACATCACTTCCATACAAACATGCACGGAGTCTAAACTGAATCAATATAATTCCTGAACATCTGTCCCGAAGAAAAGACAGCAGGTAGACAAATGCTATGGTATATATACATTTTGGGGAGAGACCAGTCACAAAGCACCATTTGACTTTCCTTTTTGGTTTGAAATCTAATCACAAGGTTCTTTTCGTCTTCACTGGTTTGCAATTTTCAGTCCTTGAAACCATTATGTTCCAATCCCAGCATCATGTCTTGTACCCCGATGGAGTGTGAATCCTACATTGTTCTTCTTTCTTTTCTGGCTAGTGTCTGTCCTGCTTGGTAAGACACAGTTAAACTTCACAGAAGATACTTGTTGCCATGTCTGCTAAATGAGAAACTTACTTTAATAAAAAACCTTTGAATATAAATCTTTTGTACGGCTTTCTAGTTTGTCCTGTATACCACATTTATAAAGTCGTGTATTTTACAGTTCTGCAGAAATCATAGATTCGGTGTGTCCATGAATATTGGAGTCTCCTAGCAAAGATGGCTGCTTTGAGTCTATTTTGTAAGGTTTTTGAGATTTGTTGCCAAAAACGGTGATACCCATTCCACTAGGATGATTTGGAATTGACATGTGTGGTAGTAAAGGAATATTGGCTTCCTGATTGGATCCTGATGAGGGCAAGCTGGTCACATGGCCAGTGCTAGTGGACCCGCTGGCGCTGCTTGGGGACCGACTCTTGGGAGGTGGGCAGTGCTGAATCACTCTGGGAGGACCTGCTGGCTGGTAGTGGGCAGCTGGAAATGCTGCGTATCCAGGAGGTATTGGGTATCCATTGATGGGAATGAACCGCTGGTTCTGAGGTATTGGTGGGCCAATGAAACCAGCAATCTGGCCCTGTGGTGTAATGCCCTGGCTTGGGAACATGTAGTTGGGATATCTGGGGTTACTGAGATTACTCACTGGGCTGGCACTGAGGGAGGTTGTCTGCGTGGTAGCATTTCCCCCGGAAGGAGTAGTAGAGCTGGTGTGACTTGAGAGGCCCTCCCAGGACCGAAGCCGGACGTGAATATCTTTAAATCTTGGTCTTCTGGAAGGGATCTCATTCCAGCACTCTGTCATGAGGCTGTACATTCTGGGCGGACAGTCTTCAGAGCATGGCAAGAGCTGTCGCTTTCTCACCATCTCGATCACTTCTTGGTTACTAAATCCATAATACGGCTGGAGTCCAAAACTGAAAATTTCCCACAAGACAACCCCAAAGGACCAGATATCTGAATCAGAAGAGAATTTGCCATACACGATGGCTTCGGGGGGCATCCAGCGAATGGGCAGCAAAGACTTACTCTGTACCCTGTAGTAATCAGCGGAGTAAATTTCTCTGGAAAGCCCAAGGTCTGAAATCTTTACATGAAGTTGCTCCCCGATTAAAATATTGCGCGCTGCAAGGTCCTTGTGGACAAAGAAGTGACTGGACAGGTATTCCATGCCAGCTGCGATCTGAATTGCAATGTGCAGAAAATCTCCATGATCCAGGCTGGACTTCACAGTCCCATCTTCATCGCTGCTGCAGCCAACGTCGGAATGTGGGGATCGCATGATGAGGAACTCATGGAGGTCCCCCTGATTTGTATACTCAAATAGCATGCACACAGGTTGTTCCTGAGTGACAGCACCTAGAAGGCAGACAATATTGGGGTGGTGTAGTTCGGCCATCAGGGAGGCTTCTTGTTGAAATTCTGTCCATTGCTGGGGGTTGTTATAGTCTTTCAAGGTCTTGATGGCGACCAGCTGAGCATGGTCCATGCCTGGGAGATAGAGATGGCCTTTATAGATTTTTCCAAAGGCACATTCACCCAGTTCTTCCATAAAACGTACAGCAGAAAGAGGCAGCTCTTTAGCCTTGCTCTGTATGAAAGAAAGGAAAAGTGTGGCTTAAAATACTTCTTCAGGCAAGACATCTTGGAGTCTGAAAGGAAGGGTGGGGCATATAGAAAAAGCTTCTATAAATAGATTAAATACAATATTGTAGGTCTATATGTCTTTAAAATTATTGGCTACAACTTATTATTTTTTTTGTGACGGAGTCTCACTCAGTCACCTCACGTAGAGTGCAGGAGTGGCATCATCATAGATCACTGCAGCCTCAAACTCCTAGGCTCAAGCAATCCTCCTGCCTCAGTTTCCAAGCCACAATGTCTGGCTAATTTTTCCATTTTTAGTAGAGGTGAGGTCTCACTCTTCTTGCTCAGGCTGGTCTCACACTCCTGACCTCTAGGGATCCTCCTGCCTTAGCCTCCCAGAGTGCTGGGATTATAGGTATTAGCCACCGTGCCTGACCCAGTTGGCTGCAACTTAGACAGGTGCCATAGGCAACATTCTATCCCTCCCCTATCCTTCACTCCCAACTCCAGTCCAGAAATGGTTTCCTGCTGTTGTCTAGCATCTTGCTACTCAAAGTATGATCTAAGGACCAGCAACATCAGCATCACTCAAAACTTACTGTAAACACAGACTCTCCAGCCCACTTCAGACCTACTGAGTGAGTGTGTGCGTTTGACAAGACCCCGGTGATTTCTGGGAGTGTTAGGGTGTGGGAAGCACTACTGCAGAGGACACAGCCTGGATGCTTAGCCTGTGATCTGGTCCTGAGCCACCTTCCTGACATGATCCCTGGCTACTCCTCTATGGCAGTGGTCCCTAACATTTTTGGCACCAGGGACCGGTTCCATGGAAGACAATTTTTCCATGATGGGTGCAGGATGCGGGGTGCATGGGATGAGGCCTAGCTCAGGTGGTGATGCAAACGGTGAGGAGTGGCTGTAAATACAGATGAAGCTTCACGCGCTCACCTGCTGCTCACTTCCTGCTGTGCTGCCCCCAGTTCCTAAGTTTCTTGGAAGACAATTTTTCCATGCATGGGGTGAGGGTGGGAGGCGGGGGAGCTCTGTGGCCTGGTCCCTAACAGGCACGGACTGGTTCTGGTCCACAGCTTGGGGGTTGGGGACCAAAGCCTATGTGATAGCATCACTTTAGCTAAATAGGTCTCCTCCGTGTTGACCACCCAAACCATGCACATTCTTGTTCAATATTTTTGTTCCTCCAATGCTTTGCCATTCTTGGGATATTTAATGTGCTAAAAATCAGAGAAAATGAAAGATTGTTGTTCTGAGGTGCTCACTGTAGAGGTGGGAAGGTTTGGAATGTGCTACTCTCTATTTATCAACTTCTTTCTTTCCTAAAAAGCCAATTTTAGGCTCTACTTCCTCTGAAAGTTTCCCTGACTGCTCTGGTCATTGCTTTGCTGGGGTCCTTTGGCTTCACTGTAAATGCCACCACACACGAGAGGCAGTGTGGTGGCTTATTACACATGTGACCTCCATAGCCAAACAACCTGAGTTGGAACCCTGCCTTCTCCACTATATGGCTTCATACCTGCTATCTGACCCTGGATACGATATAATATATAATCTTGGGTCTCAATTCCCTCATCTATAAAATGGAATGATAATAACTGTACTTATAAGGTCATTGTAAAGTTTTAATGACAATATTTATAAAGTCCTCAGAACTGTGCTTGGCACATGGTAAGTGCTATTTAAATTTTAGCTATAACTGCCTTGATATTGCTGTTCTTTTTATGCATATATTTTGTCCTCTTAATCAGATTTCAGTTTCTTGAAGGGAAGCATTGCCCTTTATACCAATTTGTAACCCTGGGGCTTCTCAAGTGGGTTGTTTATAGATTGACCTTAAAATAGACAGAAGAAGGCATCTAGCTCATAATGAAAATAAGTATTAAATTATGATATTTGATCTTGGCAATAAATGTCTATAATATCACGTGTTTTTACTGTTTTAAAATTCACCTCAAATTTAGCCTGATGTTTAGTCTAATTTGTTATAAAAAAGGTTATAAAAGCAATGCTATTGTATATAAAATTCTGATTTTTAAAATCACCTCTGCATTTTAAATCTTTATTTTTTAAAAAAGAATACTTCTCTGAGTATCCCAGTTGAAACTGACAATGTTGCAGATACATAGGAAATTCAGAGCTCTCTGTACATTTTTAAATTGCAATACAGAGCTCTCTGTAAACTTTTAAAACAACAGTTTAGAAAATTGAGTAGAAAATTTCTCATATCTAAACCTACTAATTTAGAATTAATTATGATAAGATTTGTTCTAGGCTGATATTTTTCAGGGCAAAATGCCCACTAACCCAATTATATGTGTAAATAAAGGTGCAGCAAAACACCCACTTAAAATGACAAGATGGAATCAAGGATTTTGGAACATTAATTCTTCTATGCAAATAATATTCTTCATTACAAGTTGGTCTCATTTGTTCATCAAAGCAGATTTAATGGGATTTATATTTAGAAATGCCTTATAGGAAAGTTGCTTGTGTTGAAAATAATGGTACTGTGTCGCTTTAAACTTTCAGTAAATTAAAAGCTTATTGATCTAGTCCTATTCATTATAGTATTGTTTGTAATAGTAAACTATTAGAAATGACCTACATGTCCCCATAAAGGGGGCTGATTAAGTGAATTATAGTGGAGCTAGTAAACAGAATATTCTATATTTGTAACAACAACAAAAAAAGAATGAGGATGCTTTCTATGTACTAATATGGAAAGGTCTCTAAAAATTCTTTTGCTCAGCTAAAACAGTAAAAGAATAATGCTGTATGTGGCTTTTGTGAAAGAGAGGAGGAGGAAAAGAATGGCTACATTCATATTTCTTTGTATGAGCACAAAGAAACTGTGAAGGGATATAAGGGTATTTGGGAAACAGAAGTGGATACTGGGGGCAGGTGGAACTAGAAGGAAGGGGCTGAGGTGAGGGATTTTTCACTTCATGCACTTTTATACTTTTAAATTTTTGAACAAGGTGAATATATTACCAGTTCAAAATATTAAATAATTAAATTAAAAAACATAAGGCCAATCTTTCCATGTGACCGAATCAGGAAATTCTTCTGCAATTCTAGGTCCATCCATCATTTTTCCTTTTGCTTATAGGTCTGGATTCTATGGGAGAGCAAGGTGTGCGTGATGAGAAAGGTAACCAACCTGCTGAACTCACCCTACTTTTTTGTCTTACAGCACTTGGATGATTTTGCTTTTGTTGGCAAGAGTAGCCCAAGGTGAATTTTTCCTGCATGAGGTTAAGATTGGGGATTTCCATCTGAACTTTTCCAAATGATGTAAATGAATCCAATTTTTTTGTGACAGTGCTATGAACAGCATAGTAGGTATAATTTTTTGACCTAAACAGGATCCCCAGGCTGATATAATGAGGAGGTAGAAACCCAACACCCCCTCATTCTCCACTGCTTGAAACGAACCCATAGGCAGTGTGATGTAATTCAAACCAAGTGAGCTTTGGATGCGTACAAGTCTGGGTTTGCCTCTTGGATCTGCTGCTTACTATTAACAACAGTTAATACTTATATAGCACTTACCATGTGCCAGACACTGTTCTAAGCACTTAACAAATATTAACTCATTTAACACAGCAACCTTGTGGGGTAGGTCCTATATATCAGCCACTGATCCTGAGTGAGTTTCCTTTTCTGAACCTCTGTTTCCATATCTATGAAATAATGTAATATCTAGCTTGCACAGTTGCAGTAGGGATTCAATACAATGATGTATGAAAGTAATTTCCACCTAATAAGTGCTCTTTAAATCATTCTTATTATCCTTATTAGGGAAGTCGTCCAGGAAGTGGAGTAAATGCAAATGATTTAGCTCCATTTACAGCCTTAAGCAGTTCTTTCTAGAGGTCTTCTATAACTCCCTCTATGTTTTTAAAAAAATGTGTTGAAATTTCCTCCTGTTAATTTTTCTGTGTTCTCCTGTAGTTATTAGTTTTTTTTTTTTTAAATTCTTTAAAAAATGACAGATAATATGTTTTGGAGCTCGAGGGTAGGTGAGAGGTTGGGTGACCTGTGCCCTGCTCCTCTGACATGGGGACGGAGGAGGAGACAGCAAGAACCCAGGTGGAAGAGTCGATGGTGGCAGATGGGAAAAGGAAGTGAACCAGCCAAACTTCTAGAGATGGAAGGAGAGGAGGGGGTGGACAGAACCTTGGCCCTGGCCTGACGCATGGCCTGGGGCTTCATAGCTAGGAAGGCTGCATTCTCCTCCACTGAGGTAGCAAATTAGTTCTCTTGTATTCACCTTGGAAAGAAGAACACTTACTCTTGCCATTTAATAGATGGAGAAAGAGGCGTAAAGAAAGGATCAAGATTTTCAAGACAGCCAAAAGAGCTGCACTTTTTTTTTCCTGCAAAGCCCTCTGCTCCGGGCCACCCCATTCTCTCTGAAAGCAGAGAAGCCTGGTGGCAGGCAATCGCGGTTTGACGCAGAATGTCTCTGGAGGCTCAGCCTGGGCCCTGCCACCTTGCAGGGCTATGAGGTGGGCCGTTAGTGTGTGGTCACTCTGTCGAATTATCATTGTTCTTTCTCCCTGTTCAGACAAATGAAAGATATTACGTTTTTGCCTCAAAGTGTTTCTTGTCATATCTCGCCAATATCCAGCGGGCCATCTAGAGAGTCCCAAGTCTTCTCCAACCTATAGAAGAAATGAGTAGTTTCCCAGAGTCCCTCAGAACCAAATTTGGGGGTTTGCTTTGGAGAGAGGCATGGAAAGCATCTAAAATGGCAGATTCCGCCAAACCTTTCCTTCGAACACCTGTGCAGCAGCCGACACAGACATGCCCCAAAAAAACTTGGTTTCAGGGGAACAATTTACACAGTGATTTGCATTTTTAAAATGCTCAAGTTACTTGGTACAAATGAGTCTTAACTACAGACTCATTTTCAAATTTTACATAAATCCTGAACTAGTTAAAAAATCATAAAAGCCCCTAAAGAAGCAGTCAGTAGACGGTACG